TTATTGAATGGGACTCTGAGACTGACGGATTCAGTTTGTATGAAAAATCTGCCACAAAAGAAAGTTAGCTTGCAGAGTCTGGGCACTGGTATTTGCCAAGCATGGGGTTTCCAGCCTCTCTTCACATTATTGTATACTATAGGGATGAGTCATGCCTGGAAAATGTAGTGATTGTGAATTGCAATTGTCCTCTGCTGAAAAATCCGGCTTAAGAATTGGCTCACATGCTCTAGTTCACCAAAGGGCGAACATCCTATTCATGTGCCAACATCTTATTTCTCTTGTCACAGACAGGCAGCACAACTTCCTCGGACTGGGGACCAGAGCTTAGAGATGCTAGAGATTCCCTGTGAGAGCAGCAAAGGGTGCAGGAAAAAGGGGAAGAAAAACCTTTCTATTAAGTAACATGGGGCTGAGTGCATTGGCTTACACCTGTAATCCCAGCACTTTGGGAGGCCGAGGGAGGGAGGAGGATCATTTGAGCCCAGGAGTTTGAGACCACCTTTGGCAACATAGAGGGACCTTATCTCTACAAAAAGTAAAATTAGTCAGGCATGGTGGCATGCATCTGTAGTCCCAGCTACTCAGGAGGCTGAGGCAGGAGGATCAGTTGAATCCAGGAGGTTGAGGCTGCAGTAAGCCTTGATCACATCACTGCACTCCAGCCTGGGCGACAGAGTGAGACTCTGTCTCTTCAAAAAAAGGTAACGTGGAATGAAGGGGATGGGGGAAACACTCACTGTCCCCTCCTGCAAATCTAAATCAATTCTTATACTCTGGGTGGGGCTGAGAGAGTTAGAAGAGATTGTGGGTTACCAATAATCCCCGCATTTGTGCTTAGAACCTACTTGCTATGGGGTACAGAGGCTGAACTCATTCAAGGCTTTTGCGTGGGGGCAATTAGTTCCAGCCCGTATTTAGTGGCACTTTGCCAACATAATGTCCCAACACCAGCACGGTCAGACCACAGAATTAGTCTGACGTGAGAAGTTTGGGGTGAAATGGGAGTCCAGGCTGGTGGGTCCTGGTTGCTGAGGTCTATTAGGAAGCTGAGGCTTACAGATGAGGCAGGAAGCCGTAACTGAATTTCACCCTGAGTCAATCCCCTCCAGTCTGTGTCTGTATTCCCAGAACTGCCCATCTTCTCACAGTTGGGCCACATGAGTCCTTCCTGTCACTAGAGGGACTGGGAGCAAATGTGTGGAAGGGGGCCCGGGTTACTGGAAGAGCATTTCCTAAAGTAAGGGTGGCATGGAAGCGGCCCTATGAGCGTCTGTGAGGCCTTCCTTTGATGTCTGTTTTTGAAACCCTGCTTCTGCAGTTATTTGTTTTCATACAAGAATATTTTTCTTATTCCTCTTCCTTAAGCAGTTATGAACATGTAATATCTAATAATTCAATACTCTCCATCAATGCAAATAACAGCTCCAATCCTAAGAAAGGGGTAGGTTCTGGGTTACATCCTCTATACCAAATAGTCCTCTAATTGTTAGTATTACAGGAACATTAAACAGATATAGAAATTTAAAAAAAAATATGGGCCAGTTTCCTGACTTTTCATTTGATTTAAAAAGACGGATTTACTGCTGGGAAAACCTCTTTTCAGAGGAAAGCTTGTGTGAGTTTTATTAGTTCCCTTGCACTATGGCCACAAGGAAGACGGGATCATCGGTATTGCCAGCCCATCCTGCACACCTTAGGTATGTTTAAACTCAAAAGCACATTTGTCGTGTGGGTTGTCAGAACTCTACTGTACAGAGTTAAGTCAGCTCTATATTAGAAGGCTTTGGAAGACCACAACATCCTCATCCCACTCACCCCAGACCCCAATCCCTGCTGAAAATAGACCTAAACTCAGGTTACAAACCAGAACCAGAAACAATGCCAGCTTTAGAATAAGAAAGATGAAGTGCTATGTTCTCCCTAAGTCAGCGGTTCTTTGACTTGAGCATGTATAAGAATCACTTGGTAATTTTTTTTTAACCTGTAGGGTTTGAGGGATCTTACCTTAGAGATTCTGGATCTCATGGTTTCTGGACATTGTCTAAGCCAGTGGTTTTCAAACCTACTTGCTACTGGAATCTGCTTTTTAAAAAGAGATGCTCAGCTTGCACCTAATTTAATTAGAATATCTGGGGAGTCAGGGCCAGGCTTTGGTAGCTTTTAAAAGCTCTATGGGTTCTTTTAATATGAAGCCAGTTATGAGTCCCTTGTGCAAGCTAAGAAGCCTCCCGTGTAGACATGGCTGAAGGCTCTTTGGAAGTCTTTTGGATGAGGCAGCTAGCTTGACATGCTTATCTTCAGACAGACAAGGTATCCTGCCCTAACACATCCAACTGGCCATATTAAAAATTCATGGCTTACAACACGGATAAGCATTAGAAGACTTGTGAAACCCTTGGATTTAGAGGCTGAAATTTGTGCAGATGTGCATATGTCCCCCTTTCTAGGGAGACAGTCCTCAGCTTCACTGGATTTGCTTTATTTTCTCCCCTATCCCCTTGTTTTATTCATTAACTCATTAATTTCTTTTTATCCCCATGCCCTGCTCCCATTCTTGCAGGTAAAATATGCTAAAGTATATCTGGAACTCATAAAGTATACCAGGGACTCATAAAGTATACCTTTTTGCTAAAGTATATCTTTTTGTTTGCATGTTTTTCTTTGCTTTCTGTGGATCTATTTGTAATTTATCTGAATGATGTGCTCTTACTCAGGGCTATGCTTTTAAGATCTATGTTAATTGGTATGCATACATGTAATCCATGACTCCCACCTGCTGCATCCGGCTTCATGGGGCATCCGCATTATTCTGCCTGTCTACTTCCCCAGTGATGGATACTCAGCATGTTTCCAACTCTCCTTGGCCATGAATAGCCAAGGTTGCTCACAGCAGCCCGGTGTATGTCCCCTTAAAAACCTGCATGAGAACTTCTTGGGAAATATACCCAGAAGAGGAATTGCTGGGTCACAGTGGGAAGCAAGTAGTTCTTTTGACTAGGAAGGGCTGGACTGCCCTCCATATACAGAACCATATACTCCCATTCCCTTCACTGATTCCTGAATGAGCTGAGATCTGCCCTCTGGTAAAGTGTAAAAGCCAGGATGATAGTCTAGGCTGGGCCTTTGACCCTCATTGCAGTTTGCTTTTCTGTTTGCCTTTCTTTTTCCTTCTTCTGGGTCTACCTTCTTTCCCATTCCCTGTGGCTGCTGTGTTAAACCTTCATCACCACCCTCAAGTCTCCTATTCTACCGCAACTTCTTTTTCACAGAGAAAATGGAGGTTGTCTTTAATTTTCTCTCTCCTTTTCTCAGTGTGCCAATGTCAGCCCCATCTTGATTTATTTTTCCATTCTTGCTCCCTTCCAGGGCTAACCTCCACCGAGCTTTTATTCCCTACCTTCCTGTCTTCCAGGAGCCTTGCTGTGTCAGCTTTTCCTGTTGTTTCTCTACCTCTCTCTTACCATTGGCTTATTCTGTGGTCTATAATATTAGCCAATTCTTTCCCATCCTGAAACCAACTTCCCTTCTACTTAAGCTACCTCTCTTCATTCTTTTTAAAAATGTTTTTCGGCCAGGCGCAGTGGCTCATGCCTGTAATCCCGGCACTTTGGGAGGCCAAGGTGGGCGGATCACGAGGTTAGCAGATCGAGATCATCCTGGCTAACATGGTGAAACCCCGTCTCTACTAAAACTACAAAAAAATTAGCCGGGCATGGTGGTGGGTGCCCGTAGTCCCAGCTACTCGGGAGGCTGAGGCAGGAGAATTGCTTGAACCCAGGAGGTGGAGGTTGCAGCGAGCCAAGATCACACCACTGCACTCCAGGCTGGGCAACAGAGAAAGACTCTGTCTCAAAAAAAAAAAAAAAAAAGTTTTTCATCTATCACCAACTTTTTAAATGCAATGACATTTCTTCTCACTCACTCCTCCATGCCTGGCAGTCCAGCCAATGGCCTTCTAGTTGCAAAATCTCTGTGCACTTCCCAGTTCCTTCCTGCTTGTTTCTCTGTCGCATCTGACACTACTGGCAGTCTGCTTCTTCTTGGAGGTGGCTCTCCTCTTGACTTGGCTCTCAGGACATTATTTTCTCCTGGTTCACCCCCTCTTCTTTCTGCTTCTTCTCAGTCTCCATCATGGCCTCCTTTCCCTCTACCTTCCCTTCAAACTCCTTTCCCTTATGGCTCCCCTCTTTAGGCCTCAGCACTGCCACATGTCCTCCTGAGAGCTCATCTACTTCTTAGGCCTCCTGAGTTGTCATATGATTCTCAAACCCGGATCTCATTTTAATTCAACAAGTAGTTCTTGAAAACTTACTGCGTGCTAGGATCCAGAGTCTCATGTGACATATGAGAGTTCACTCTTCTGAGCTCTAGACCCCTACATCTGATAGAGTTTGTTTGCTACAGTTTGAGGATATGTGTATACCTCACAGACTAGCTAAAATAAATTATATACCTCTAAGTAAGCTTCTTTTGAAGGGGTCCAGAACATGGCCCTGTCTGACAACATGTCAGCAGATAATCCTGGCTGCTCTGATTTTAGCCTGGAGAAGGCACCAAAGGTCTCTGGGTCACAAGATGTGCACATATTTTCTTTGACTAAGACAGGACTGCTCTCCAGAACAGCTGGAGTGCCTGCAGTTCTAAGAATATAATTTGGTCCATAGATTTTTTTCCCTCTCCTTTGGAACAGGAAGACATGGACAGAGTACAGGCTGATGAGAATGATCGTATGATGTGAGAATTGTAAATCATGTTGATACTGTCAGTAACAGACCCTGCCTTAAAGTTGCTTACCCCAATAGTACTGGGACAGTGAGGCTCACACATGAAGGAGAATTGTACCAGGCTGGACACAATTAAATGGGAAACTGAATAAACATTATGCCTTTCTTGTAATAGTTGAGTTGGGCAGATTAGGAAGGACAGAGTAAGCAAATCTCCTCTAGGCTGGCCTGGCCGAGCCTCGGAGGACCAGCTGCTCCCTGAGACAGCCTTACCTCTGTTTCAGAATCTGTTTGTTGTCATCGATGGTAACGCTGTCAGCGTGGTCCCTCTTGAAGATTTCAAAAGCCTCCTGGCGTCCTAAAGACATTTCCTCTCTCATTCCTGTTTGGAGACACAGGGAAATGGGCTCAGTCATGGCATCAGGATCCTATTAATTTCATTGTCACTTTAGTCAGACCACAAAACCAGCCCTGGCTCCAAGAGGCCCACAGCAGAGAGGCTCTGACCAGACAGGTGGCCCCAGGCTCTTCCAGCTGGCCACCAACCCGCCTAGGAGGCCCTTCCAGTGCCACCCGCTGCACCCCGCAGGACTGTGCCTGCACAGCCATGTGACTCATGGGGGGCAGGGTTTGGAACGCCTGCCTGCTCGGAGGAAATGAAAACCAGAACGCCAAGCCCTGGATTGCCGAGGACGTCTGCAAATGTATTTTCTTGCCATCGTTCAGTGCCACATTTCTCCCTGGTATGCCCTATTTTGTTTTTCTATTAAATTTCCAGGCATTTAGTTAAAGGAATTATAATCCAAACTGAAAGATAGCATCTAGAAAATTCTGCTCTTAGTCTCTGTGTAACAATTCATTCTTGTTTCCTGTGGTTAGTGAAGGGGTCTCCGCTTTTCTTCAGGAGTTAGGTTCTCAATCACAAGACCCATGAGCTGGCCATGGCAGGGGTCCCTAGGTCATCTCTAACTTCAATATCCTGTATCGCCTTTGCCAACCCTCACTGCTGGGCGCTGTTCAGAGTTTAACTTCTGGAGCCACGGTCAGTACAGCCAGGACCAGGCTCTCTTCCTCACCACCTCCCGGAATGAACATCAGTGCAGATGTGTGCCTGGGACCCCTCAGTGAGAGCTGAATTCACCACTGGATTTTGGATGCATCTACAGAGCCATTTTTTTAAATGCTTCCACCCTTGTTTCCTTTGCTTGGGAGGCCTTTTCCCACGTTTTCCTCTAGTGACTCTATCTCCGTGGAGCTTTCGTCAAAGCCCAGGCAGAACAAACCCTCTTTCCACCATGTTCCTTGTCAATACGCCTATAACACCCACAGCCCAGTGGTGGACACTGTCACTTCACATGACAATCCTTTCTGGTGAAATGTAAGTTTCTCAGGGGGTAGAGATAATGGTTTTTTGTTTGTTTGTTTTGTGAATCCTTGTGTCTTGTTCAATGTCTGGCATTTAGAAGGTGCTCAGCATACATCTGTGAAACGAATCAGGTTGAGAATGAAGCTGGGTGGTGCCGAGCCTTGCTCTTGCTGTGGGAACACAGTCCGGGGTTAGTGAGGCTTACTCTGAGGCCAAGGGTTCTGCACAGGCTTTCATATGGGCCACATACCACATCTCCTCTTGCCTGGAAAAAACTCTCTGAGTCCCATCACCCATCCTAAGGGTGAGTAACTGGACTAGCCCATATGACACCAATTTAATGATTACTGTTGATAAAAATAGCACCGTGAAGAATGTCTAAGTGATGAGGCACACAAAGACACCCCGCCCTTTTCCGATCAGAAGCAAATGGGGACGACTCGGCTTTGTCTCCACATCTGCCTTGCACACTCTAGAATTGAGTAGGCCTGGGAATCCGCTTATGTGAGATGCGGAAAGATGATCCCTGGTGCATGAGAGACATTGAGGGGCACGTTTCACCAGCAGAGCCCATCAGGAGCCAGCGGATTCATTCCATACCTCTCCCCTGTCCGGGTCTGCACCCAGTTCTAACAGTGCATGCCTTTTGCTACATAATAAAATAATAACAAACGGTAGAGGGCATGAGACTTTGGACTGGAGTTAGGGAAGAGAAAAGCTCCACAGAGACCACACTGGAACCTGCTTGTGGAATCCCCAAATTGCCTCCCGCAGGGGAGCTGATGAGCAGGCTTCCACCAACAGAGGTGTGGGGGTGGTGGGTCAAAGGGGTGTGGGGGTGGGGAGTGAAAGGCTGCTCAAAAAGCTGCAGGGAAGAAGGGTTCACAGCCTCTTCCCTCTCAGGCTCTGCTTTCTCTGCAGAGTTGACAGTGTGAACTGACAGCTGGGTGGAAAGGACCACGCCAGAGCCCGTGGCACTGTGGTGGCATCCACTCCTGGGAGAACCTACAAGGCACTGAGCAACCCACTGGGACTAACTATATTCCCAACAACAACAACACAAAAGTAAATGACAATATGAAAACACGAAACAACATGAAATGCACCTTCCCTGAGGGCCTGGGCGGTGGGAGCAGAAAGGACATAGAGGGCACAGAGGAGACAAGCGCAGGAAGTTTGGGATTATTGTGTACAGAGTCTTGAAGGACCTATTAAGAAATTCGGGGCCAGCAGCATAACATATTCTACATGCATTGCCAACTTTCAAAGACTGAAAATGAAGAAAGTACACATTATGGGAAAGTCACACTGGAGGGATTGAATACTCTTGATGACTTAAAAGGCACTTAGGGGTCCTGTAGTGCCAAGGGCTTATCATCAGAAACATAACATTGGCTTTCCTTCTATCACGGACAAAGTATTCTGGAGTTGGAGTTAGTTGATTGTGGTGACCACAGGTGAAGGACATCAGAATGATGGCTATAATCTTGTCAGTTGGTTTCCCAAATGTCCACTCAGGGAGGCCAAGGTGAGGTGGCTGAAGCGTAGCCGGAAGACAAAGAGGCAAGGCCAGGCCAGGATGCCTGCAGAGACTTCATGGCCACCACTTGGAGCAAGGCTGAGGTCCACAGAGGGAGGCACGTGGGAAGGACTCACGGGCAGCTCCAGTGTGTGAGCCCAGGTCCCAGCCCGGCCCTATCCTTGCCCATCCCCATTCTGCTTGTTCAGAGCTCATGTGCAGCTCCTTTGGATTGCACTAATATACCACTTCTCACCCCAGTTTGGGATCAGCTGCAAAGTTAATGAACAGCTTTTATTTACTGAAGAAATCACTTCCTTGTCCCCCTGAGGATTTAGGAAACAGGCTCTTTCTCCTATGGCAAGTTCCTGTCCCTCAGCATGCACTGTATGCGTTTGAAAGAGAAAGAGCAAAGGAGCAAAAAGGGTGATTAAAAGCTCACCTTGCTAACGAGACAATCATCTATTTATTCTCTCAAGAAGCATTTATTTATATTAGGCATTGTGCTAGGCATGTGACAGAGATGTAAAGTTGAATATTAAAGCTTCGATCCTTGGTTTAAAGAATTCGAAGTCCAGTAAGGGAGAAAGAAAAATGAAAAATGGCCGGGCACAGTGGCTCACGCGTGTAATCCTACCACTTTGGGAGGCCGAGGTGGGTGGATCACCTGAGCTCAAGAGTTTGAGACCAGCTTGGGCAACACGGTGAAACCCCATTTCTACTAAAATACAAAAAAAAAATTAGCTGGGCATGGCGGCACACACCTGTAATCCCAGCTACTTGGGAGGCTGAGGCAGGAGAATCACTTGAACGCAGGAGGCAGAGGTTGCAGTGAGCCAAGATAGCACCACTGCATTTCAGCCTGAGTGACAAGGCGTGACTCTGTCTCAAAAAAAAAAAAAAAAGAAAAGAAAAGTGAACAAATATTTACAATGGAGGTTGCCGCGTGCTGTAGAGAGGCATGTGTCCAGCATGCGGGAGAGGGAGGAAGGGAGGCAGGGACTCTCAGGGAGAGTAGGAGAAGGCTGTAAGCAGGAGGCAGCAAGTGAACTTCATCCAGAAGGATCCTGAAGGATGGAGCAGCATTTCCCAGGTGGAGAAGACATGGAAGAAGATGCCAGGTGGAGGAGGCAGACATTGGAGTGTGGATTAAAAATGCAACCTGATTAATATGGGTGGCTCTGCCATCCAACAGAAATGACCTCTAGGTGATTAAAAAATGAATTTCTTATATACTCTATACCAAGAATAGTATCATGGGCTTTCTTACATATTATTTCAGTTAAATTTCTCTATGATCTCTGTTAATAATTTCATTTTATAGATGAAGAAACTGAGGCTTAGATAAACAAGAGATTATAAAGGGGTGAAAAATGCCCAGCTTTTAGAGGCAGTCATTTCTGCTCTTAGATCAGTTTTTCCAGGGAAAGTAGGCCTGGCAGAGAGGGCAAGGTGGTGGGGCTCAAAATGACCTCGTAGTATTAATAGTAGATTTACCCATGAGATCATACTCTTATTCGTGCCTCTCTGTCTAAAATGTTGATTTATTTTTACAATATCACAGAAAAACAGAACCATATATATATTTTTTATTACCTGCATAGTTTACTTCATCTGTTAATATGTTTTATTATTATTTCTAGAATTTGTAAGCTCCATGAGGGCAGGTATTTTTAAAAAATTTTTATTTCAATAGCTTTAGGGGTACAAGTGGTTTTTGGTTACATGGATGAATTATACAGTGGTAAAGTCTAGGATTTTAGTGTACCCATCACCTGAATAGTGTACATTGTACCCAATAGGTAGTTTTTCATCCCTCACCCCCCCAACTTCCCCCATTTGAGCTCCAATATCTATTATACCACTCTGTACACATTTGCACACCCATAGCTTAGCTCCCACTTATAAGTGAGAATATGTGGCCTTTTGTTTTCTGTTCTTGAGTTATTGTACTTAGGATAGTGGCCTCCAGTTCCATCCACGTTGCTGCAAAAGACATTATTTTGTTCTTTATGGCTGAGCAGTAATCCACACCACATTTTCTTTATCTGTTCATCAGTTCATGGACACTTGTGTTGATTTTGTATTTTTGCAATTGTAAATTGTGCTGTGATAAACATACGCATCCATGTGTCTTTTTTATATAATGACTTGTTTTCCTTTGGGGAGATGCTCAGTAGTGGGATTGCTGGATCAAGTGGTAGATTTACTTTTAGTTCTTTGAGAAATTTCCATAGAGTTTTCCACAGAAATTGTATTAATTTACAGTCCCACCAGCAGAGTATAAGCATTCCCTTTTTACCACATCTGTGCCAACATCTATTGTTTTTTGACTTAATGGCCTTTCTGGCTGGGGTAAGATGGTATTTCATTGTGGTTTTAATTTGCATTTCCCTGATAATTAATGATGTTGAGCATTTTTGCATGTTTGCTGGCCATTTTTATATCTTTTTTTGAGAGATGTTTCTTCATGTCATTTTCCCACTTTTTAATAGGA